AAAAAAAAAAAAAAAAAAATTAAAACAGACAGAGAAGATCGTGTCACGGACTGTAACTTTGAAAAATAAATTTACAAGTTGTCTAATATAAAAATTTAATTCCAAATACATCAGTAGAGTAAAACCGATAAGAAGATGTATCTAAAGTGGTCTGAGTGGCGTAAAATAATGTGACCGCATCAAGTATGAACAGACAAAATTGCACATCAACCGGTTCACTGAGCAGAGATGGAACTCTTCACTCTTTCAGTCCAGTCGAACGGCATCCACTGCTGTTTCAATCGTTTGGCATTTGCGATTTGAGACTCAGTACTTAACGTTTCACTTTTACGCCAAGTGTTCGGGTGTAAATCCAACATGCCTCCAATTATTTCCTAAATAATGTAGTTCTCTGAAAACAATTTTATAAAGCCCAAAAAATGAACCTTTCTTTTATTATTGAGCTTCGTCCATTGCTGGACTTGAATGTCCACCAGTAACTAAAAATCAAAATAAGAAAGGTGAGGGATTTGAAAATTTTTGTTTTTTACTTCAGATACTGGAAAGAAAAATGACAGTGTAAAAATGAACAGAAAAAAGCTCCAATTAATCAGATAGTTTTTTCTCAAACTTTACACCCATAAGATCGTGACACCATAAACCAATTAAGGAACACTAAGAGATCAACTACACTCACAAAAAACAATTATTTAATTGATTTACTGCTTAAAAAGTCTCATAATTTTAAACTTCTTTAAAATCATCTTTAAAATAATTTTTGACAATTTTTTGTCCGTAAACAACTAAAACCCACGGTAAACGATGGGCAGTTCCCTGCCAATATACCGTAGTATGACGCCACTCAGGTATAAGTAGAAATATAAAAAAAAAAAACAGGTCAGAACAAACATGAGCAAAGTAATTTGGAAAATGTCCTTCGTCTTCAATAATATGAGCATATCCAGCTTGAAGACCAAAATCAACGGCAAAATAAGAAAACCCTTTTGGAATAGCTTTACGAATATCACCACTTTTTTTTGCCAAATCAATCAACTTTTTATTATGCGACCATTCTGTTTCGCTTTCATCAATGGCCTTCTGCAAGAATAGAAACTGTAATAATGCGGAAGTGATACGAAACAAGTTTGGGCATTTTCATATATACATACCCATCAAAGTGCTGCTTCTAAGCAAAAAAAAATAGAAGAAAAAATAGCTACTGAATGATCAAAAGAAATTTTTTTCAATATCCAGCTCAAACAACAGATAAAAGTTTCACCTTGAAGTAAATAGGTGCTGTTTCACCAATCTCCATTGGTACTGGAATGCATTCCACAGCCATATGTCTTCGGTGTTTTGCATTTTTCACTGTTTCAACAAAAATACAGTCTTTATCATCAGCCTTCCACATTGCGACAAGGCCCTAAAAACATGACATGGCTTGAGTACCTTTCACTACATTAGATTCTAAGTCACTGATAAAAAAATGTTTGAAAAGGCCATCAATCAAAACTTCAAACAACTGC